CATATCACATTGTTAACAATGGGGGTAAAGACCCATACTTGATGTGGATGATGATGGTTTAAGAGAAAGCTGTAGTGGGGTTTTTTTGTTATCTTATGTTCTTGTATTAAATACATAATCATTTAGGCTGAATGAACTCCGCTTTTTCATTTTTTCCTTTACCAAGAGTTTTGGTGACATACTGACATGCACAACTTTTGTCATAGTTTTTGTTGCAAATTCTGCTACAGCTGGTGACTCAAAACCAATATCATGGTTTGTGATCGACTCAACGATGGGGTTTGTTGCAGATTCGTGAGTCACTGGAGTGAGAGATAAACTCTCCTATCGTTGTTCCATGTAACAAGCAGATGAAAATTTGTCAAAGGTAAGGAACAACCATGTCCAAAAATTTTGGGCCAATTCGTGGATGTTGTTCACGCAACTTCATGATTGAGGGGGAGGGGAGGGGAGTTTTTTTTGCTATATTGTAAATATCATTTATGAAATGAAATTTTAGGTTACAAATTGTTCGATAAACAAAGTGCTACACTTATTGTTTTGATCTCATGGCAAAAAAATTAAAAACATGAAACCAAAATAACAATCGTTACACATTCAAAACTCTCCAAAGAGAAATCCCGAGAAAGTAACACTAACATCCTGGAATAACGGTGCGAAGAACCAATGTGGAAGCCAGTGAGAAGACAATGAAGAGCACACAATGGTAGAGGAAGCACGTTCATCCGGTTGATAGCACATAATAACCAAAAGATCCAAGAGTCGGCAAGCAACGAAACAAAGGCGACCCAAAACCCGTTTGCAAGGCACATTGAGAAACTTATGAACAATTGCTAAAAGAGACTACACTAACCCGAAACTAACTACGCACAAAGCGAAACCTAATCTCGAGCCTTACTAGGTCCTCCAAAACCACATATAACACAATAAGATCCAAACACGAAACTAGTCCCTAACCGACAAACAACCAACGATCTTCAAGCACCCCATCCCAAGTAAAACTGCCAGAACCCACACACTATAATCAAAGAGACAAAGACATGAGAGAAACCAAACTGATTTCGTTCACATCCCAACAAACCTCACCGAAGGAAGCCTATGTCTAAAGGAATCCGAAACCTAAAACACGAGCTCACTATAACATATAGCTAGCAACAAGAAACAAAATCAACGATGATGCGGTCCTTTTCTTAAGGGACTACAAGGATACGGCGAATCAGAACTTAAGCCAAGCTCCGACGCGGCCAGGTAAGGAAGCGATGACTAGTACACCTCCGAACAGGGACCAACACAGGTGCGCGCAAAAGCCCAGATTCCAGCCAAGAGCGAATCTGAATCGTCACATGGCCTTGCCATACCAAACCACCGGACCGGCGAGGCAAAGCGAGATCCACTCGTCCTGAATGACCCAGCCGCCGGCGAAGCTTGTCTAATTGAAAAAGGTGGATATTAGACTTAAGTATTGATAACTGGTTTATGATTTACTTGGTTCAATTGTTGCTTGGTTTAGTTTGTTGTTACATTAAATCGAGTCAATATAAACAGATTGTAATGGGATGTTGAATGAATAACAGAAATTCATTTTCTTCAACCTTATCTTCTTCAAGCTCTCTAACATGGTATCAGAGCAAGAGATTGAAAATCTCTTTCGATCCTTCCAATTTCTTTGATCTTCCTTCATTTGACCAAGATTAATCGTTTGAATCTCACGATTAATCGTTCTCTGCGAAAGATTCTGGTTATTCTGCCACGAATCACGAATTTCACGTTTTATCTTCGAATCGAGCTTTAGATCTTGCCTCAATGGCGATCGGAAGGAAAGTTGTGCGTCGCGGTTCCAGATCGAGCTCGGCGAGGCGATCTTCTGTTCCCAAAGATTCACCCCCAAATTCTCCGGTTTCGGCTCTCGCGAACCAC